ACTTTTAGCACCTTAGCTGTATTATCGCAGCATTAAGTTCGCAAGGTCTGAATGGTTCAGAAAGTACATTATTTGGTGTTGTGGTGTCTTCCTAAGTTTCACCAAACTTCTTAACTTGTATCTTTATATCTTTTGAATGTTTTCTGTCGAATGGGTTTTTCTTTTGCTTGTGGGAATAGAACCTTGCAAAGCACTGTTTCGTTGTCGGTGGTAAGCAATTTGCTGTTTAAGCGCTTTGGAGTCGGTGGTAAGCAATTTGCTGTTTAAGCATATTTGGAGTCGGTGGTAAGCTGTTTGTTTTTAAAACTTATTGGTAGTCGGTGGTGAGCAGTTTGTTGTTTAATCGTATTGGTTCCTTCTTGAGACTTTCCCTGTTGTTTTGGAGGTTACCCAGGAATTTGAAAGACGTTGACTTTCATTTTGATAGTTGATATTTGAGATGAACTTGTCGAAGGAAGTTCCGTTTGGTGTTTGCCTTAGGACAGCTGATTGTCGTCTCCAGGCTTGTACTACAGCTGACTGCCTTCTCCGGCTTGTACGTCTTCCATTCTTCCAGTGTATTCAGCAATGACTGGTTTGTGGCCAGAACCAGGATCGTCAATTATTTTGCGGCGTGTATGCTCGCTGATGTCGCTTGAAGCCAGGAGTAAGTCAGGAGTTGTTCTGGTTCCATTGTAGTGCACATACGTAGCTGGATCCTCATTGCTATAAATAAGTTCTAGACTGTTGCTGTTTAGCGTGTCTTCGATTTCCTTTCCAGCTATGTTTGTATCCTTGTAGCCCCATCTGTTGGAATGGACGTTGAAGTCTCCTAATACTACAGTTTTGTGCAAGATGTTCAGAAAATCAAAGTTGGAACTATTCTGGGATGGATTAAAGACTGTGTATATCATGAAGTGTTTTTGACATTTCCAAACATTTAATCTGATTATTTCACATATGTCTTGTGTCGAGCCCAACCTCTTGATTAGATCGTAATGTAATGCAATTTGCCGATATTTAAGTAGAAGTACAGGGTGTAACCTGGGAATTGGTACCATTTCAGTTTGTCATCCCTAAGGTTTGATTCCATAATTGCAAAAATGTCTACATCATAGGTTTGTTGGATTTTCTGGACTTGGATCTTTTAGTCCTGTGAAATCTCTCCAGCATTCCACTGAAGGATCTGTAGAGGTTGTGATTCATCCTGACAAGAGCGATTTCACTAATAGCTTCGTTTTAAGCTAATCATAATAAATTGAAGTCAAATGTCGATTGATAGCCTTTTTTGTCGTATGAGTATACGTTGTCCAGGGTGCACCACGTGGAGGTAAGTCTATCGCACACCCCCCCCCCCCCACCCCCAAGCATAAGTCCCATTTACGCTTCAATACTGACCATGAGTAGATTGTTCAAACGATTTTTTTATCTAAGAGAAGATGAAATGACATTTTGGGTGGGCATGTATGCTTCCACTCTCTTTCAAAGGCATATTCATAACCTAGGCAACCGGCAGGTCAACCGAATTAGAACCGTACAGAATGGTGTCTGAAAAAAAGTTTTCTACCACCTTATTTTATTTTCTGCTTAACGTGATTGTTCTTCTAATAGTTGCAATAATAAGCGGGAATGCCTTTCGAGTTGATATATGCTGCAGTTTTATAACATTTAGTAGACTTCATTACTCTGGAAAACATAAATTTGCATGGCAGTTAAAAGAGTATTACGAATTGTCAATTTCTTTACGAAACTGTCGATCAATATTTAGAGTCTTACACATTTTACCGAAACCCACCTTCCAAAGAGAATCTTTATTTCTAAGTTGTACTTTTAAGTGCTTAAAGAGTTCATAGATTGGCATTTTTGACCAAACTGGAACAAACAAGTACTGATAAAATCATATGAAACTGCACACTTTGCTTTTAATGACTATCAATAGGTATATCGGTTTATTTATTTGTTATTATAATCGCATTAAAATGGTAAAACTGCAAGTAACTGAAGTTGTAACGAACCTTCAATTTGTATCTACTACTTGAACTTATGTTTTGTAAGTTTGCTTACTTTTGAAATCTATTTGCGTACCGTATTGCAGTTCTGGATAGTGAGTAACAGAGTTTAAAAACAGCAAAAATGGTGCAAATAAGGAATATAGAATTTGCATTATGTGTGCATAGATGTGGACTGGTAGTGATATATAGTTCTACTCAAAATATTCCGAGTCTATATGAATACCATCAATCCCACCCTGAGAAGACTTTATAGCCGATGCAGCATGTATGTCAGTTGACTTCGATTTAGTTTTCAACAAATGATATCGGACATCTAATTTCATGTTCTGCGTAGTGTAATTGCGATAGATGTAATAAAAAGGGGAAATGTATTTCAGGTTAATGTATGCTACAGGTTAATAATATTTAAAGCGCTTTGTTACCATTGAGGACTTTAAATCGTCTTACTGTTTTCGTTTAAAGCAAATCATCTGCTATAGGCATTCAAAAAAAGCGAATTGGTAAAAAACGTTATCCCACTCTTCTTCATGCAGTGAAAAACAAGAAATGCTCATATCATCACCAAGTTGGGACAGTTGTTGATCTCAAAGATAGTATTGGTTAGTGAATAGCTGTTGAAGATCTCAACGCCTTCCCTCTCTAGAGTTAATTGAAACTAGTCAATCTTGATCATCCAAGGATATCCAAATCACAACTCAGACGGTTTATCTACCAGGTATCAGGTTGGAAATGATATCAATACAATATAAGCTGAATGCTCTTTTGAAATTATTGACATCGGTAACACAAATTGTGCATATAAAATTCTAGTAAACGTCGCTCCATCTTTTACCGATTTGTAGAATTCGCCTCACGGAGTCATGCCCTTCGTTCGTTGTCAATTTACAACTTGAATTTCCTCCGGTTTTAAAATTATTAATGCAATTACATTGGCAAATAAATCATCCGATATGCCAAATTGTAGATTCATGAAATGTATAAGCGAATCACCACATAATTTCAACATTTCCTTTAGGGATTTTTGAAGCATTCAAAATTGCAACTTAGAAATATAGATGTTTTATGGAAGGTGTGTTATGGTAAAATCTCTAAGACTATAATGGTGATAGACAGTTTTGGCATGAAATTGGCAAATCGAAATACTTGTTTAACTACCATGCAATTTTCGGTTTTTCAGAGTAATAAAGTGCATTAAATAACATTAGTCTACAGCATATATTAAATTGAAAGGCATTACCTCTTAATCACTGAAACACTACATGGCGTTTAAAATATTGCTTTACATTCTAAAAATTACCTCGTACAATGTTTTTGTCAAAATTAATAATTTCAGCAAGTTCGTCGAGCACGGAATATAATAAAGATAGTCAAAATTTCATAGTTCATTTGTGAAAACAATCCAGTTAATTAAACCTTAGGTGTCTGCTGGATTAACGTGGAAAGAGCCCCTTTCCCAATATTTGCCTGAAATGCTGGACAAATTGAAATAGGTGATCAAGGCACCCTCGAAGCAACGTATATGCACTGCATTTTCGGGAAATATAATTACATTGGCTGTTTACTTGATGGCTCAAAAAACATTCAATCGGTAAATCGTTGAATATCCTAACTTTGGCATACTAATTGCATTGATCGATAAGCAGGTGCATTTAAATGAACTTAAATTTAAATGAGGAAATACTGCTAGAAGGAGGTAAGAAAAGCGACAGAAAGAAGAGAATCAGCTGGAATTCTCAAATTCTCTGTGAAAATTTAGGGCACTGTTCCGTGCGAAATGGTCTGAGCATTCCAAGTCACATACGTGTTAATATTTGGGATTCCTCATATTCTATGTCTGCCCTTCATCGGATGACAGTTAACAGCAGGTAGGATTAGAACTTGCAAAAAAAATTCTTTACAGTCCAAACTTTCCATCACTTAATTGTAAAGAACTTATAAAATTAAAGATTGAACAATCCTTGAAAGAAAATCAAAATTCATGAAGGACTTTCTTATTCAATGCAACAAATTATCTGTTTTCCTCTTCCCTGTGGTCCAAAAAATTATTGTTCGAGGCCGTAACTAATGCGAAATTCAACTAATTTATTCTAATCATTTAGGGAAACTTTTCATATACTAAATACTATATCAATATAAATATATATATATACTTATTAAATTACGAGAATAAAGCAACTCAAACGCAGCCAAACTGAGAAAATCTTGTTTTTAATAGCCTGAATTAAGGCCGAAATTATGCTAGTTTGCACATGAATTTTTTCGTTAAAAAGTTAAACGATTTCGGTTTTATTATAAACTACCACTAGTGCAATTACTGTTTTTTTCAATCTCTTATTAAATTGGAAATATGTCATAGAATCAAGAAGCGCTCGCAATCGTTGTTTTTTTCGATTTTAAACCATTGACGTTTTACATAATCTTGGAAGTATGAAAACATCTTTACTTTGACAGTATTTTAGTTTAACAAATTTACATTTGCGACTTTATATATTTCTTTGGATAGGAATAAAGGGAACTTTTCACATACTGTGCCCTCTTCTTGCATTAAATGCCACTGAGCTAACAGTGGTGAAAGTTTTTAAATTTGGGCTTAAGAATTTAAATTAGACCATTTTCTATAACCCAAAAAATCAAATAATGCATAAATATTCAAATTATTTTAATTAAAGTGTGTTCTACTTTCTTTTCAATAAATATCAAAGGTGGAATTTGTTTTTAATGCCCAAATTTACAATTCTGAGTACTCAGCGCAGTGTACGAATCTGTAGTTTGTCTATTTGTAACTGGTTAGTTAATTTTCTCAATTTGTTCAATGGAAGTATTGACTATTTAGATATATAATTTATTTTTTGTTATATAGACGGTAATTTTTGTTTTCAGTGTTCCTTATCACAGTGCTTTTGATTTATTTTAGCAGAATGGAAAACTCTATTCAGCCCAAGTGCTGTAAACACCATCGTTCTTTCGACATATGTAATTTGGATAATGATTCTTCAATATCAGCAAAGCTTGATGTTCAGTGGAATATCAACCTCTGCACTAAATTGCAGGCACTTAATGAAGTAGATATCGCATTTTATAGTCCAAGCTCTTTAGGATCTCACAATACTTGGATTGAAACCATTTTTTCGGAAATCCGATTCGTTTATCCCGACTATTGATCTCAATGCCTTAACTTCTGCCTTCTCTAAGTTATTTGAGCGCCATATTCAGAGTCTTAATTCTAGAGGAGGTTTTGATGAAGCGTTAGTTCATTGTGACCTTGGGGATATTTTTTAGCATTTCTCGTATAAAAGCAGAGCTGGAGTATTCACGTACCATGCATGAACGGTGTAAGGAAGAACTGCATTCTGTTCAGTGTTCGCTAAGCCAATCGAAAGAACGTGAGCATCGAATTGAAGCAGAGATAACAGATCTCTCTAACCAAATTCGCAAGCTTAAGGATTCTGTAGGTTTATTCAATAACATAATCATTGTTGTTTTCTTAGATTCGTCGACTTGAATCAGATTTTCAAATTCGCAACACTCAGTTTCAGCACGAAATCCTTAAGTTGCAGAAGGAGAACGGCACATTGAGGGCAAGATTTATCAATCATTTGAAAAAACCCATGGCTTCTACTCGCAGACCTCTCATTCCTTCTCAACCTTGTACTGAAAATACTAAGAGTGAGGTAATTTCCGAACATGATGGGTTCAGTAAACATGGAGGATTATTTGTAATGATGCTGATTGGTTGAAATAATTCTCATCCCGGTGTTAAAGTTACTTCAAGGTTCCTTTGGAGTTGGGCTAAGAAATCGGCTTAGAAATGATTGATATTATTGTTAAGATTGAGAGGATTGCAAATCCTTCCGAATTTAGTGGACAAGCAGGTAAGTTGGAAATGTGCTGTACTGACGTAGTGGAATGGCGGAAGGAAGAAGTGGGTAGATAGTGATGTTGGAAACTGGAAGGGAATGAAACGTATTAGTACTGAGTGTGCCGACCTCGGGTTGTGCTGAAGAGAGCTTGCTCTTGTATGCTTCACAAGTTTTGTGTCGCTGTTCCTTTTTGGTAAATTGATGGGAACTATTGGTGGCAAATAAAGTGCCTAAATTTGCGGTGTCTGTTAAGTGTAGGGGTGGTTATTTTGGTCTGAGGAGTTAACTGAAAGCAGTATCCGCGGGTGCTCTGTGAAGCGCCTCATCCATTATGCTATTGTGAAGTAGTAAACTTGCGATTTCTTTTGCAGCTAGATCTGGCACGATGTACGGTGGATCACCTGTTAGCTCGAGAAAATGAACTCTTCCATGAGAACCGTGAGCTTAGAGACCTAATTTCTGTTCTTTCCTCTCGGATGCTTCGTTTTTCAATATCTGCATGACAGACGTCTGGGGATGATTGGCGGCGAAGGCGACAATGATGGATTTCAGGATTTGGAGCCGGAGGAGACATCTTTGGATGGATCATCTGAATGTGCAACTTCAAGCAGTTCTGATGAGTCAACATATGAAGGCAGGTTTACACGTTATTTTTATGGCACTTGCTTGCTAATTTTTTTATGAAGTATGAAGGTTTGACTTTGAAAATGGTTCGACTCTACTTGCCTTCCATTTCTGTATTGTATTGAAGTGTGAAAGTTAGTAAAACCTGCTTTGCTCTGCTCACCTCTNATAGGTTATAACGAATTGATTATTTAATGCACTAGGACACAACAGGCTTTCTGTTCTTAGGGTTATTAGTTATGTACCACCATAGGAAAGAGGTTTTTCGTGGGAAATTCTGATGTGTTCCAGTTGCGTTGGTTCCGGCTACTTTCCTATAGGTATGTTCAAAATTACCAATTTGCTTTTCTGTTCAATGGTATTGGGTGGAGTTGAATCTCACTTGAGGTTTTTTTTCAAATACTTGCCGTGGGAATGATTCTTAACCCCACACCGCACCCATCCTATTGGTTTTCCAGAGGACAAATGTGGACAGATTAGGGGTTGCCAATTTAATTAAGTTTAATTTTAAGGGCTTCCCATTGTTCGCCTTCAGATAATCTGAGAGAGGGCCCTTCGCGTAGGCGAAAATCGGCGAATGTGCGCCACCTCTTACTGGAGATGCCCTTCAGCATGGTTCGAAATCGCCTGACATGCCGGGTGCATCGGCTATCAAGACGCCTCTGAAAGGAAATAAAAACGCTCATGCAGACACAGAATGGTATGTCATATCCTAATCGATAATGAAATATTTTAGATAACCTATCGATGGCCAGTAGTGGATCGCAAATGGGACCTGAGCTTGAGGAGAAGCTGGAAGGGTGTCGACTAAGATCTACACAGTGCGATGAGGAATTGAATAAAAGTAATGACAAATTATCGGTTAGTTAATATTATTAACTGATTGAGGTCTATGAATTTAGGAACTAGATTCACTTGATATGACTGGCGAAATGAGTTCAACTCAGAGGGAAACGGAGACAGACCATAGCGAGGTATAAATTTTTTGCTAATTTCCTATTGTTTGAAATCCTTTTTAATAATATGGCCCCTTTTACTTGGATTTGAAAGCCTACTTCTACTGAATGTCGAACACCTTGCAAGCAGTCTCCGAAGGAAGATGAAGGTGTGTATAACTACTGAGATCGAAATTAGTAGTACCATGTGTGTCGGATTTAATTGGAAACACTTCTTTGTTGTAGGTGAATACAGGGTAAAGGCAACGTTTACTCCAACACCTAGGAGAATCGGAAAATGGAAATAACTTTTTTCACATTACTCTTTTGATATTTTCAAAACTATGCGTCTGCTAAAACTTCTTTTATAAGCAATTTTTTCGTGTTTGCAAAGCTATATTAGTGTATTTAGTTCCTTGGGCTGGCATTGTTCCAGTCGAAGTCTTGATTTGGAAGAGGGCTGCATACCCTTCAAAGTAACATTTGCGAAGATGAGGAAAGGGTGAAAGTGCTGATTTAGTTAGAACCCGAATTGCGTTATATCGAATACCTGGGGTAATAAGTTACCGGTATATAAGTTCCTTTTTGGTTGATATTTCATTACCTTGAAATGACGTGCCTTCGTATAGATTTTGATTGCAAAGTTGTTCACATTTAGTGATGCCATGTTGATTGCTTCCTTTATAGTTGTTTGTTTGGATCTTGATTTAGGTATTATTCATTATTAGAATGGCAGTTGAAAGGAAATGGGTACGCATTGTTTAATGCAGAGGTAAAAGAGTTGAGTCATCAACTTAGGCAAAGTTGCTTTAACACGAGGCCTCGCATTGGCTGGTGCAATTATAATTCAAAGTGTTCTGTACACTCCTTCTTTGTTTGCTTGATGCTACTTGACGAGAAGGTTGATATAGAGGGTGTAGGAAAAGTGCCCTCAGAATATATATGGGTGCGTAATTGTTCAGGGTTGTGTCAAGTTGCTGACATATTATCTCATTTTGAAACTTGTAGCCCGGGAGGAAGCCGACTTATGAATGATTGCACATGCTGATGCAGAAATGGATGACAAGAGCAGGCCTTTATAGTACTTTATTTCTTAACGACATTGGTATATGTTTACTTATGGGGGTCCAGTTCGCCATAGAATCGAACACGATTTTTGACTGTGGGTTTAATGGGTAACTATATACCAATGAAATTCTGTTAAATATTGATGCAGAAATGGATGACAAGACCAGGCAGATTCCAAGGTCGGGGTTGCAAGGGGTAATAGCGGTTAGAGAAATTCGCAAATTATGTCAAAGAAGGAATGGTGTAATCATACCACTTATGATGGGTTCAGTACAGAGACCTTCATCGGAGCGGTGGCGTGAATGCATTTTTGATCAAAATTGTCGTGGATAGAGCCTAAGTCGCACTAAGAGTACGGAAATGTAAGGATGGAAGAACAAGATTTGAGTTTATTAAATGAAACGAGGTGACCAAAATAGCTACTTTCCTCTTATGCGGTATAACAGTGAATGCAGTTGCATATAAACTTTACCAATTAGAGTGAGTGGTAGAGTTTCGACTATTTTTGATAATTTCTCCATAAGGATTGGATCAATTTTGACCACATGTACATAAACTTGAGTCAATCTTTGGAAGACACTGCTGGTTATAACTTCTTCACTAACTGTGGAACGAAGACATGCAAGACTTTCACACTAATTGAAGCTGTAATAAATATAGCCTTAGGAATGTGCTGATGCAATTGAAGGCTGTATTATTGCTTACCATTTCAAAAGTGCTTTCCCAAAAGTGACATATGGAGATTTTGATCAGATCATGCCGCTGTCGCCCTATCCCTTTTTCCCCAACCACTCTCACCCCTCCCAACTCATTGTACGGATTGTCAAAATCCTACAGGTGTCACCGACTGTACCAACATTTGAATGAATTGAGTATTGTCGATTAGAGTGCTCTATTCTCCATTTCAGTCCACAGATTTAAAGAGAACTGTTAGTTGATCTTCGACATTTCGGTGATGGCGCGCGTAAAAGCGGCATCTTGTGGCAAAAGATTTTCTTATTCTAATGAGTTTGCATCTAAGCCTCTTCCTCACCCACGCCAAACATGTATTTCACATGCTCATTGTGCTACCCAAGTCAGCTCTTTGCAAGCGATAGCTAAAATTTTCCGAATTTTGGCAAGTTGGAAATCACAAATTAAGCAATTGCATCAGCTCTACTGTGTCAACTTGAACGGTGACAAAGCTTTCACGTCGGATAAGTTTTTTGAGTAAATTTTCCGGCAGTGCTGTCCTCTAAATTGTCACCAATGCATCATCATCAACCACTATGAGGAAGTTCATAATAGGAAAATCGTGGAGACGAACAATCACGAAGAGCGATTTGATGGAAGATGGCCACGACCTTTGTACTGGCCGAGCATTACTGGTTCCCTTCTGGCCTTCATGAGTTCAAGTCCAACAACACCACCAGCTTGGAACTTGCTTTCAAACTCTCCTAAGTCAAATACATATACTCTTAATGCAATTTGGAATAATATTAAAAGAAACAGGGAACAGTCTGGGAATCCTTGTCTGACCCCGACCTCTATGATCACCAATACCACTTCCAGTTAACCGTCTTTAGGTAGGCCTTGGAAAGTATCTATTTATTACATGAAGTTTTAATATTTTTGAAATAGTTCATTATGAGCTTTACACTTTTACATTTCACAAGGCATTCATTGCTAGCACATATCATCATGCGTACGTATGCTGCTGGGCATTGCAGCCAAAGACTTGGTCGTTGGATTGGTTAGCCCATTCATTAAGTCAGTTACTCTAACACTCCATCGTCCCACTACTAGTCGCACCAAGTATTACTAAATGGTAAATAGTTATTACATGATTATAATGACCGCCGCAATTTATAAGCATATGCATAACCGTACACGTGGGGTTGTCAAATTGGCAGGACAAATATTCACTTTACTGTCCCTTTAAACTATTAGGTTAGCAACTAAGTCATTGCCGATTTCAAATAAGAAGGCAAATTCGGAATTTTTGTTTAAAAATATAACTTTATTCAATTAGATATTGGCCGTTCTTGTCGATGACCTTTTTCCATCGTTCTGGCAGAGTAAAAATTCCCCGTTCGTAAAATGTCTGATCTTTGCTATTAAAAAACTGAATTAGGTGTGATCCGACATCATCCGCGTTGTTAAACATTTTACCATTTAAAGAGTTTTGCATGGAACGAAACAAATGGTAATCCGAAGGCGCAAGGTCAGGGCTATATATGGGGTGGGTGTGACAAAACATCCCAACCTAGTTCCAATAATTTTTGCCGAGTAACCAAAGGTGTGTGGGGGTGGGAGGCCTTGCGTTATCATGATGGAAAACAATACCCTTCCGATTTGATAATGCCGGCCGCTTATCTTCAATTGCATCCTTCAGTTTTTCGAGTTCTTCAACATACACATTTGAATTTATCGTTTGGTTCCTCGGCATGAGTTCAAAATACAAAATTCCTTTGTGATCCCCCCACCAGACTGACAGCATAATCTTTTTTTACTGAATCTCTGCTTTTGATACTGTTTGGGCTGGTTGATCTTGCTTCACCCATGATCTCTTGCGAGTAACATTNTTATAAACTATCCACTTTTCGTCGCCAGTAACTAGGTTCTTCAGAAATGGATCATTCTCATTGCGTTTCAGTTTCATTGCTAATCCGTTGCGTCAAATGAATTTCCTTTAACTGGTGAGGGATCCACAAATCAAGTTTCTTGACATAACCAAGGGTTTTTAATTTTTTTTTTCAATGCATGTATGCGACACATTGAGCTTCTCTGCAATATCTCGTGTTGTGCTGTGACGATTTGAATCGATAATGGCCTTGATATGGGTTTCATCCACTTCGACTGGGCGGCCAGATCGTTGTGAATTTTTCAGTGAAAAATTACCGGAACGAAATCTTTCAAACCAATTTCGACACTGCCTTTCTTCCTCACGGCTTCATCTCCATATACGGCACATAACTTCTTTTGTGCTTGCGGAAGTAATACAATAAAATGTGTCGGAAGTGCACGTCCTGTTCTTTCATTTTTAAATTGGGATAAAAACAAAACTAAAGAACTAAACAAAAAAATTTTTTACTAATTAACCTAGAAGCCCATAGAGTAAGAAAGAAATATATGTTAGATGCTCTGGCCACGTTAACAAAACAAAAGAAAGTATAGAGTGAATCCGTCAACAAAAACGGCAATGACTTAGTTGCCAAACCAATAGAAATATATAACCTTGATAGTAATTCATTTCTCAACGACATTGGTACCTGTTTACTTATTGGGGTCCAGTTCGCCATGAAATTAAAAAGGATTTTTGACTGCGGGTTTGATTAGTAATTATATGCCAATAAAATTCTGTTAAATATTGTAGTTCATCAGCGTATACCTATACGACAAAAAGGCTAAAAAATCAATTGACTTCTGACTGAAAACTCCCATAATAAGAATACATGCCATATTCGTTCAATTCCAAAATACTCAACTTACCTTACATTATTCTCTAACTTTGTGTCTGTCCCTCTTAAACACCTGTGAAACATACTTTTGTTCCTCCTCTAAACTTTTAGAGTCATTGTTTTTCTTCCTTCATTCACCCCACCCCCTTCCCCCCTCTCATCTTTTAGAGCAAAAGCTAACCTTTATATTTTCTTTAATTTATCAAGTGCTGATATAGAAAAATAAAACAGTGGTCCAACAATGGATTCCTGGTCAATGTGGCATCAAAGGCAATGAGCTTGCTAACGCACTTGCTTAGAATGGATTAACAATTTTACATAGCATAGACCGGCAGATCTCTTTCCACACAATGAAGACCTTAATCAGGGAGAATTCAAGACCTCAAGGTGAAACGAACTTAAAGCTCTAACAAAGGAGAAACAGTGGACAGTGACACTCACTGAATTAACCGACTGGCCAAGAATCGAAATCGTCGCTGAGTTTAGACTACCTACCAGCACGATTGTCTGGCAAAGCACCTTCACAGAGTGGGAGTA